ATGCAATTGTGAATGGAATTGTTTTCCTGATTTCTCTTTCTGCTAGTTCATCGTTAGTGTATAGGAAAGCAACAGATTTCTGTGTATTAATTTTGTATCCTGCAACTTTGCTGAATTCAGATATTAGTTCTAGTAGTTTTGGAGTGGAGTCTTTAGGGTTTTTTATGTACAATATCATGTTATCTGCAAACAGGGACAGTTTGACTTCTTCCTTACCAATCTGGGTGCTTTTTATTTCTTTGTGTTGTCTGATTGCTGTGGCTAGGGCCTCTAGAACTGTGTTGAATAAAAGTGGGGAGAGTGGGCATCCTTGTCTTGTTCCCGATCTTAAAGGAAAAGCTTTCAGCTTCTCACTGTTAAGTATAATGTTGGCTGTGTGTTTGTCATATATGGCCTTTATTACGTTGAGGTACTTGCCCTCTATACCCATTTTGCTGAGAGTTTTTATCATGAATGGATTTTGGATTTTGGATTTTGTCAAATGCTTTTTCAGCATCTATGGAGGTGATCATGTTATGGTTAACGTTTTTTAGTAATAAAGTATTTTTAATTAAGGTATGTGCATTTTTTTAGATATTATGCTATTGGACACTTAACAGACTATAGTATAGTATAAACATAACTTTTATATACACTGGGAAACCAAAAAATTCATTTGAGTATGTTGAGATATTTGCCTTACTCTAGTGGTCTGGAGCTGAACCCCCATATCTCTGAGGTATGTTTGTAGTTGTCAGTCAGGATTACTAGGCAAAAGAAGTGCTTCAGAAAGAAAAATTTTTTAGAAGGGCTAAATCTAGGCATTTGTTCTCTACAGTGTTTTCCATGCTTGCTAAATCCTGGAAACAGCTTGCCCAGTAATTAAGAAAGTGCCAAGGTGATTACCTACTTGATAAAATATTCTGTAGCTATTAAACATTTTAACAATTAAGACTTTAAGGTAGAATTACAGAAAAGTGCTAGGTGATTCCAAAGGATAGCAGAGACAGGAGACATGGTCCTTGGGCAATGCAGTTAGAGAGCCAAATATTTAACAATGTCAGGTGTCAAAAGACTGATAGTTAAAATAAGTGGTATGGACTAGGAGTGATTTATAAAATCAGTATGACATGGAAGCTTGGATAGCTTAAAAAAGAGTTATGGAGCACGTAGGAATTGAGCTGGGCCTGAAAAATGTATGAAATTTGTATCAAGTATAGAGAAAAGATTATTTCATATAGTAAGCACAAAAGGAAGCTCCACTATGTGGAGGGAGAAATACACAGAAAAGAGCTAGGAGACTTGAGAGGTTACAGGTCAGGAAAAGGTCATAAACTGGGGTTACACTTATGGAGAACCCTGAATGCCAGGCTGAATTGTCTGAACTTTATGCTATAAGCCTTTTGAACACAGAAAATGCAACATCTGAGGAAAATTTGGCAGCATGAGATATTATTGAAAATCAGTTATCCTTCTGTAAGGAGAGAAGGGGCTGAGCTTTGGGAACAAGTGTGAGTACTGGAAGCAAGGGTCTGATACAAAGAATATTTAGAGTGTTACACCATTTCTTTTTTTTTGTCCTTCTAACTCACGTTGCTTGCCCCCCGCCCCAACCATCTCTCTCAAGTTCTTCTCTTTCTGTACTGCTATGGGCTATCAACTTCTGACTAAGAGCTCTCACCAGTTCCTCCCATCGCCTTAACAGGTGTCTAGTCATGCCTCCAGACCCTGTGTCTGGACCAAGAAGTGTGGAAGGAAGCACTCACTGGGAAAAAATGACCAGGACCCAGCAAGGAAAGACCTTCCTCTCCCACCATTTCCATCACTCACTCCCCCGGCGGCTGGGCTGGGGTATGATTTTCTCCTATTTAAAACCAAGAAACATGGAGGAGTGTGCCTCCATTTCCAGTGTGCCTCCAGTCTTCCACTTCAGCCCAAAGCACCGTGCACGCATTAAGGACCAATATTTGAAAAAGGCTGCCACAAACCTTACCTTCTCTAAGGAGGTGATATGGCAGCGAGGGTTGCCCAGCATTCCTTACAGCCAGTATAGCTTTGACCATCTCTACAATGCAGACAACATCATCCAGCCTCCCCAGATCAGGAGGGCCCGACATGAGAAACCCATCAGCTTCACGTTCTTAAATTCTGCAGGTCCCTCAGCAAGGGTCACTTCCAAGGCTGTGAAGACAGAAAGCTTGGCCAGTCTTAAGAAGCAGCTGAAGAAATCAAAGCCAGCAGCAAGTGAACTCCAGGAAACACCTCACCTTCTCACCCACCATCCCCACAGGGACCCAGACATGCTGGATCGGTCACTTTCTCCAGATGTGAACCTGGAGACGGAGGCCTGGCTTCCACCTCTGGAGAAGGAGACCAGAGCCTGGGAAGCCATCGTGCTAAAAAAGCTAAACAAGTGCACTGCCCAATGGATCCAGAACAAGCGTCCTCTAAGGCCTGGGGTATCCCCCAACAAGTGGCAGAGCTTCCTGTGCCAGCAATACGACTGGAGCCACATCCAGGATGAGTTCACTTCCACTAGTGACCTGGAGCTTTGGAAACAGCTGGAAGCAGAAGAGACAGTGGAACTTGAGGATCAAAGTCTCATCCTGCCCACCAGGGAAAAAAGGAAGCCAGAGCTGCTGCTTCCTGGTTATTATAGGTAGACTGGCTGGGGCCTCAGGCATGCTTAAGTCCCTGGCTCTCCTGCAAAGACCCCTGGGTTGGTTGACACTGCTTATTTCAGAACACACTCACCCATCAGTCGCTTGTGTTTTCCACTGCCAACCTGCTCTCTAAGATCTCCTTAAAGTGGTGTTTCTCTACCTTGGTGCCACTGACATCCTAGGTTGGACAATTCTTTGTTGGGGATCAGGGGGCTGTCTTACATAATGTAGGATGTTTAGTAGTAGCCCACTGGAGGCCAACTGTATTCTTCAGTTGACAACCAAAGACAAAGTCGCCAGGCATTGACACATACCCCGTTGAGGGACAAATTGCTCCCAGTTGAGATGCACTGCTTTTAACAGGGACTGGTTCTCAGTGTTGGGCTGAGAACTGGGCTGTTCTGCTGATTGAGTTACTATCTAAATGCTCCCAGAAATGTATCCATGGTAAGAGTAAGGAAGGCAGGGACCTCATGGCTCTGAGGCTTGGTCCTGCCACACTTCGAGTTAGGGGCCAGTGTGTCACTGACTCAAAAACTGACAAGCAGCAACTCAGAAAACTAAAAGACCAGAGAGGAGAGGATTACTGCATGTTTTTCAGATTGTGTCCCTCTTGTGTATAGCTACAGGGAAGACCAGGGCTATTATAGTATCCCTAATAACCAAAACTAAAAAAGTGGAAATCCATTTATTTGTTCATTCATTGGACAAATATAACTGCATTCCCACCACTTTTCAGGTATTCTTTGACATACTGAGAATACAATGTAAACAAGACAGACACAGACCTATCCTTTAGAAAGCTTACAGTGGGGTGGACAGACATTAAATAATCATACACATGATAAAGCAAGATGATATATGAGGCAGGTTCCCTTCCCTAAGTCCATGAAACTCTAAGAGCACCAAAGTTAAAAATGGGTAATGCTGGGAGCATGGCTGCTCTATTATGCTGTCCAGTGGCTGCAGGAATGACTCCAGAAGTGGCTCCACTGGGAAGGGGGAAGATAGCTGCAGACAGACTCTTCTGACAGCTCCATTTTCATTTGGCACCTTGTGGTTAAGACCAATAGTTAAACATAGGTGTTCTTTAGATGCTCATGTGTATATGGGCTGAGCTTAAAGAGGAAAGGGAGTGGGCTGTGGATTCGGTAGAAGTGGGGAGGTCCATCTCCTACCATTCCCTCCTCTCCCTCTTCCTCCTGCCAAGATTGCCCAATCACTTGCCACAAATGCAGACATGTGAAACTATGCCTGACAATAAAACCACTGTGGATATCAATGAAAAGAGGAGTATCTGCCAGCCCCCGAACCAGAGCTACTTCCAACAGGTGAATCTCCGAGCTGGAAAGTTTGCTTACTCCACAGACAACACCTTTGAACAGGAGATTTACTTTGGTAATATACCTGGGGCCCTGTGGTGTTGGGGGTGAGGTGAACATGGAGCAGGGAGGTGGAAGGCATCTGGGGATAAGATGTCTTGGGTGTGGATGAGAGAGACCCTGATGACCCAGGTGTTCAAGGCAACATCCCTTGATTATTGGCACAGGAGTTTTTGGGGGGTTGGAGGGCAGGTATCTGCTGAGGAGGAAACTGTTCTCTCTCTCCCCCCCTTTTCTATCCTTCTATTTTACTAATAAGGTAGTGAAGGGTGGGGTTAAGTAATAAGCAAGATTCAGCTTTGGGAACCTCTTCTCTGTCCACTTTCTCCTTTCTCTCACATTGAGTTATTTCCCCACTCAGATACTATGTTGGAAAAAAATCATGGGCTTTGGTGTCAAGTAGATCTGGGTTTAAATCCTAGCTTACCCCCTTCCTACTAACCTTCAGCAAATTATATAATCCCTCTGAGCCTTATGTATCTTATTTGTAAAGTGATAGTAACAAAAATGCACCTCAAATGAAGAACAGATGGAAAGCATCTATAATGCTTCCTGTCCAGTGCTCAGAAACTGTCCACTACCTTCCCCTAACATCTTGCTGTCCTTTTAGATGCCTGGGCTTCCAGGATATATCATCTATGGATGCATGTTCCAAGCTGTTTATTCTTCCCTACCCCTTATCTTGTTCCCAAACTGCTGTCAATTGAAAGCCTTCTTAAAGTGTTTAACAAAATTGTTCAGACAATAGTATTTATGACTGGTAAGAAATGATTTAGGTACCCCTTTATCAGTATCTAGCTTTTCACAGGGGACAATGCCTATAGGTAGATAGGTTCCATCTTGGCTTCCAGGTCTCTACAAGGCCATCAGCTCATACTTCCAAGCAACAGTCACCTTCAAGGGATGATGTCCCCACAGCATCGTTGAGTCCTAGGGGCTTACAGCAGGGCAAAAAGAAATTGAGTATGATTCTCTTGACTGAAAACCTAGGAAGAGAGGCAGGAGGGTGGTACTGGGGACTCATTAATTCTTTCTTTATCTGTTCACAGATAAAGTTCAGGTCATCCACCAGACTGGTGCAAAGAGAGACCAAATTCTCCTGGAAAACCTCAATCAGTATAGCAAGCAGCTATCTAAGGTCTTTCCTGAAACCCCAGAAAGGTGGACTTCCCAGCCATTTCCGGAAGCATGTAAGCAGGAAGCTGATAATGGGAGTAATGATGGAAGTGTGGCTATTTCTTTAAGAACCCCTGTTATATAGGCTGGGGCACCACCAGCATAGCATCTAGGGGAGTCCTTTCCTACCAACTAAAAATCATCTCATGTAATTATAAATTGCTAGCTAACTACGAAAAGCCTTCATGGAAACAAGCATGTTGAAATCAGATAAAACTTAGATGTAGCCAAGTGGTTTTGGGTCAGTAATTACCAGTAAGGCAGATCCTATCTTAATGGTTCCAGGGGAAGTACCTCAAACCCTGATCCAGCACTTTGCTCTTTTTCCTTGGGCTGGCTCTACTTTCCCACCACTCCATTCTCAGGCCCGTACTTGCTTCAGGCCCTAGGGTCATACTCTGTTGTAAGATTCTGTTTTACATCATTCTTCATTCTGTAAGATAAGATAGACGGAAGGGAGACAGCCAAGAAATGAGCTTACGAAACAAAAAGTGCTCATCCTCGAGGAGACTATGTCTCCATTTCCCATAACTTTTTTCTGCAGTGTCACTGTTCAGATGGGTTCCATCATGTGCAGAAACTAATGCTTGTGTGACCCATTCTTTTTCCCACCAGCGTTAAATTCTGTCTCTAGGGCTGCCTGGCTAGTCAAAAGCCACTAGAGTAAAGAAAAGGTGCTAATAATGGCAGCTGTGGGCAGCTTCCCCAAAACTCACTCAGCCTCCTCCTCCACCTTTTTTGAGGACCACCATTATAATGCAGTGGAGAAAGAGGTCCAGCAAAGCCTTGGATTGGGTCTTGGCAAGTCACCTTCTGGGGCTTCAACTGCTTTGTTAAAGCTGAGACACTAATCATTCCAAGAGCAAGGCACCTATATGATACTAATTGACACTGAGGTGATTTTGTGAGTATGTTTTACAAACCACTAAATGCTGAACAAACTCAAGGAATTATCATGAGTATATGACCTTCCTCACAAGCTAGCTCTATTCAGCATGTCCTCTCCTCTGAGAGTAGGCCGAGCCACAGAGACAGAAAGTTGATCAGTAGTGTTGCTGGGGGTTGGGAGGAATTGGTACTGGGTTTCTTTTCGAGGTGATAAAAAATAATCTAAAATTAGACAGTGTTGTGATAGTTACATAACTCTGTGACTATACTAAAACCACTGAAATGTATACACTTTAAGAGGACAGATTTCACAGAAGCTTCAGCACCTGTCTCACTCACTTCTCAGACACTTCTTCCCCAGTGGATCTGGATACCTGCCTTTTCCTCCCAGAACACAGACCATTTAATGAATCGATGCTGTAGGATTTCTCACATCAAACTTTTAAGAAAAATAGTATTTGAAATTGATCTGGAGGAAGCAAAGTCAGAACAGTAATAAATATGTACCTTCTTATAACCATTTTATTCATCATTTCATCTCAGGAAATAATAAGTATTTTAAAAACCTGGACAAAATAGGAAAACTCCTAGGGTTAGATGTGGGTGGACTTTTTCCCTCCACTTTGACAGAATTGAAAAATAGATGATGATTTCTTAAAATGATTAAAACTCTCAAGATACAAAGCATACTTATTACTATGCAGCTTTAAATTTCCCCCAAATCATGATATAAAACTCCCTATTGTACCCAGATCACTACAGTTCCTATACAACAAGCTTTTATGGTACAAGTCACAAAGGCAGCATTTGTTCCTGCCAACAAAGTATACCACAGCTTTTGTTCCACAGGAAGTCAGAGGGTTGTCTCTGTGCTCCTTTTGGATGGCTTTTGGTGGAGACGGCAGCTAGTGGATGTGTTTCTAACTGCCTGGGACTCAAGTAAAATACATGTTGGCAGTTATACATATTCATTTTCACATATTCATTTTCACAAGTGTTAAATACCAGAGAATCAGGACTTTCTCACCACGACCTTTAACTCACTGAGCAGGGAGGCACAGAAGGAAGTGGCGGGGGGTGGGGGGGGTAAATTCAGCTACTTCTCAACTCTCTTGGGAGGGATTTCAATCAGGCTGAGAAGTCGGGGAGTGTCATGTAGCAAGATGTCTACTCACCAGAAGCTGACCTGTTTGAGATGCTTCTACAGCTTCTGGCTGCACATCCTCTCCTGCAAAGGATAGAAGTCCTCTCATCAGGGCAACTGAGTTCCCCCAGCATGACCAAGCTGGGTGAGGACCATTTGGACAGTATCCTTTGTATGAGCATCTGAGCTAAACTGCCTTGGAGTTTCACAAGACTCTTATATTAGAAGAAAGAAATGGTTCTACCTTCCTTGCTCAAAGGAAAGAATTGATTCAGAGCAAATCTAAACATGTTGGAGTTGGAATGCAATCTTGGAAAAAACAGAAACGGACAGGTTAGAACATGACACTGATAAGCAATGTGGCTGGCAAATAATGAATTTCATAATCTAGGAATTTTTTTCTTTGTTTTGCTGCCTTCTCCACACAACTATTCTTCTAAGAAAAAGGCTTTCTGAATCTGACACCAGGGAGAACATTAAGTCTAGAAAATGGAACAACTGTAACTTTTATATAACAACTATATACAACTATATTTACTTATTTTCTTCTGTTCTCAAACTTCCAAGTGTTATTTGCCATAATAGGAAAAACTCAAAAGATGCTAAAATCTTTAAAAATTTAGCAGCTTTTAGCACCATTCCTCCTCCTAAATTAAAAACATTAAAAAGAAAACCTAATAAATTAGGAATTAATGGCAATTACACTCCACTTTAAATTGTAATATATCACATATTGAATTTTATGGGTAAACCTTGTTATATATAAACACGTTTATGTTCCTAAAGATTTATCCAACTTATAAAAAGGTTTGTGTATATCTCAGTTTTTCTCCCCTATCATCATGACTTTACCATTTCTTTATTCAAAACTTTTCATAATTCCCTATGGGACTTGTCCTCAGTTTCCTATAGATTTATTGGGAAGTTTGCTCTCAAGAATTTTCTTTTTTCTTGGTATTAGACAGGAGTGGGAATGTGATGCTGGCCGGGAACACAAGGCCTGGGGCAGAGGGTAAGAATAACCATAGTGCCATACTGCACAGCTTGTCGGCCTGTGAAAGGATTCCTGCGCTGGACTGCTTTGCCCACCCCAGCCAAGGATCTGCCACTGCAGGTGGGTGAGGAGGACGTGCTCATAAAGACCAAGAAACCAAAGAGGCAGGTGGAATCACTAGAGGAGGATGTGGCTTGGGAACTGGTGGCCCTGCGGAAGATGCTGAAGGAGTGGAAAACCGCCTGGGCTCTACGTGAGTAAAGGGGGTTTTAAGGGGTCCTGAGATATCAGTGTGTACTTGTGAAAGAGGAGGTTCTCACGCTGGATTTGGATTTCTCAATCTATGCAAATCCATCCCTCTCTTGTGACACATAAAAATCTGGACATCTTATCAAGATTTAGACTAGGTTAAAAGCCTTTCACACAATGTTGGGGTTTTTTTTTTGCACAGATAGGTTTTCACCTCAGTAATCTGTGGAAACTTGCGACACTGAAAATTCTTCACAGGCAGGGACCCTATCTTACTGACATCTGAAACTTTATCCACAGTTAGTAAGGAATGAAGGAAAAGGACAAAATATGCTGTCCAAGAAATGGAAATGTAGTGGTCAAAGGAAACTGCTACTGGCTGCAGTATAAACAACCTCTCTCCAAAATTCATTTGTGGAGTTGGAATTACCAAATATCTGCTTTGCCTTCAGAAATATGGGAGTAGAAGGCTGAGAGCTTAGAGCAGCATAAAAGCCTAGCAAGGACTGTTGAAAGCTGTAAGATTTGAAGATACAAGGGCTACTGGCTTTCAGAACATGACAGACTAGTTTATTTAGTGCAGAAAAAAGATCCACGCATAAACTGGATCAGATAAACAAAAAGGGGTTGAAAAGACATTCTTAGAGCTACTAATAGGGAACCACCTACAGATGGTGGGAGCACAGACATAAAAGCTTGATACCTGAACAGTTAGCAATAAAATGAGGAAGACCTTGAAAGCCAGAGGAAAAGCCCTGAAAAGCAAGGGAACCTAATGATAACCACAATCTTTAACATTTACACCCTCATTACCTTGCCAGACATTTTGCTAAATACTTTGTCTAGTTAATGCATTTAGTACTCAGAATAACTCAACATGGTAGTTTCTAATATTATTCCAATTTTACAAATGAGAAATCTCAAGCTCAGAGAGATTAAGTAATTTATCCAAGGTCACACAGCTAATAATTGATTCCAAATCTGGTTATGTCTGACAACAAAGTACCGTTAACCACTGTTTTATTGTCCCTTTTATTTTCCACACGGTAACAATGAAGAGTTATTAAAACAGAGAGAGAATATAGGATGGGATTAGAAGGAGTTTTGTTTAAGAACCAGCCAAGAGGGAGGGTAGTAAATGGATCATCAGAGAAATAACTTCCCTAAGTACCCCCAGCCCTGGGGCCCTTTATTCTTCTGAGCTAACGATCTGCTCCAACTGTCTTGGGGGAGGAAGGGGACTTCTGTCACCTGACTGCAGCCTAAAAGCTAACCATAACTAAGTGGCTCTCTTTTCATTTCATGCCCTGTGGCAGTCATTGAGTGGCACCATAAGACAGTAGAGGACCTGCTGCGGGGCTTGGTGGACATGCACAATGACATTCGGATCCAAGCCATCATCACATGTGCCACAGCTGCTTTAGAATGGCCCCAGATGGCTATCAGCCAGGCAGACTCAGGTAAGAGCCAGAACTGGACGGCTTGAGGTTCTAAGCAACTCACAAAGCCATAGAAAATGTGAACTAGTGGGGACCTTGAAGCTTACCTCAGATCATTTTACAAATGTGGAAACTAAGATCCAGAAACTGGCCTGATGATACACAGCTTATCAGCAATAGGGATGAAACTCCCTGGGCTCTATCTAGTCCCAGGCTTGTTCCACTTACATTTTGTCACCTTTTGTTTGCTCAGTAGCTTGCAGTTCACGTTGTCACACCTTGAGAAAATACATTCTTAATAGCTCCAAACTATATATATATGCATATAAATATGTAAATTAAATATAAATTTTATATATAAAATTTTAAATTTAAAATATAAATAAAATACAAGCGATTTTTTCCCCAACTCCATTTTAGCCCTTCTTTTAATAGTACATCTTTCACATAACATGTCCCAAACTGAACTCATCGCCTTCACCATAGACCTGTGCCCACCTTCCAAATCTCAATCAGCAGCCCCACAACCAATTGGACCCTAAGGACTCAGGACTCTAGCAGTCATTCTGGGCAAATCCTTTCTCTCCCCACAAACAACTGACTAATAAATTCTACTGATTCTACCTAAATATTAAATATTTTTTTAATTACAAAAGACATAGTGTCATTATCAGTTAACACAGAGGAATATAAAAAGTAATCAATTATCTTCCCCCAACCCACTTCTCAGTCCCAATCCTGTATGCTTTTACAAGCACAAGCCAACATATATGTGGGCTCTTATATTTTTAACAAAAATGAGTGATGAATTATATCAGCCATTTTCCAGTTTTTCTCTTTTATTTTGTGGATATAATGAATTATTTTGTTAAACTCTTAGAATAAATCCTAATGGACCACATTATTCTTTTATTACTCTACTAGGTTTGATTTGTTAGTATTTCAGAATGTTGCATTATATTTGTAGTGAAATCAGTAGTTTTATTTTTAGTTATACTATTTTTGTCAAGTATTAGTTTTTGCTAGCTTTGAAAATGAAATTAGGGACGTGGCCATTTTTCCAACAGTCTATAATCTTTTGGAAAATAAATGTCAATGGCTTTTTTCTTTACTAGCAATAAGTAGTTAAAGAGGAAAATTTCCCATTTATAAGAGCCAGAACTGTAATCTACCAAGGAGCTGGTTGAACAAGACACAGGACCCAGGTGATGTAAAGTATAACATGCTACTGAAAGGACATAAAGCAGACTGATTCTTACTTATTCCTCAAGCACCCTCTCAGATATAACCTTTTATGTGAAGCCTAGGCTGATACTTTTTCCTTCTCTGCTGCTGCTAGCATCCTAATATTCTATACTAATATTTATCACTCTATCACAGTTGTATTTACTTTTCTGCCATCCCTCCCAGAGAAGGAACTCCTTAAAGGCAGGGACTAATTTTACCTCTACAGTAGAGTTGTTAGGTTTTTGAAGTTAATTTATTTCCTTTCTTTTGAGTTCCAGATATGGGCATTTTTCCTTCAGGTTTTCAACTTCCTGCTTCCTCTGCTGGAAAACTCTTCCTCTCTCTCACCTTATTAACTTCTAAATTTGTCTTTCAATTTTCAGCTAAGGTGTCTGTCACCTCCTCTCAGGAGTCTTCCCTGCCCCACCACCCAGACTTGGTTCAATGTCCCGGCTATATACTTCCAGACATGTATTTTTTATTATAACTGCTTATTTCCTTTGGTATTAAATGGGATGATATATTTTTAGTGCTTGGCACACAGAAAAAACTTTAAATTGGTGGCAAGGTGTATTATTATAATCTTATCCCCAAATCGTTCATATATATACAAAGGACACTTTGTCTTCCCCCAGAATTGTGCCTTTCAGGTGATCCTGGGTGTCTAAATTTGATTTGTTTCCTTCCCACACCTTCCCAAAGAAAAATATTTTATTATGTCTTTAAATACTCAATTGACTTCTACCTGTTCCCCTGAAATACACATATTTCCACCTAGCCCATTTTTAACATAGCATAGCAGCCCTTAGCAGTAGTAAAACAGACAGATTAGAAATCACAAAATCTTAGTCACAGGGCCAGCTCTACCACTTGCTGGAAAGTCAGTTAGCCTCTCTAAGCTTCAGATTCCTTATCTATAAAATGGGGATAGTTATAGACAAAAAGTTAACACTTTGTCTTCTACTTGAGAGTTTGAGCTTTAGTTAAATGCCTACCTGTTGCCCTAATAACCTGATGTGCAAAGGAACTTTATAGGCAACCTTGCTTATGATAAAAATGAACCTGGATCAGTAAATTACATGTAGACTAGAAAGAACTGTAAGTGAAATACAAAAACCTGAAGGGCCCCTCCACCCACGAATGCTGTGACTTATAATAGGCCTGCTCCTTCTGGACCCTGGAATTATAGCTTTGGAGTTGTTTTAAGAGCCTGTGGAATATAAGACTTGTACCCAGAGTGGATACATGCTCCTGAGCTGTCCCCATGAGGCTCCATGGAATGCTATACAAACTGCCTCTAGAACTGTGGCCAAAAGGAATGCCTGATGCTGCCCTGCTGGAAAACTGTCCTCCCATCCTGTATCCTTTGAAGATTGGTGCCATGTATGGCCTAGGAAATTCTTGTGAGTCTGGCTGTTTAGTTAAACCTAAAGACTCCTGAAATACACACATTTCAGGTGAGCTCCACAGTAATCCCTCCCCTGCCTACTTCAGTGAGGGACGGAAACTGAATGAGATGATATGAAAATGCTATATAAATGTCAAGCGCTACCTAAATATAATTGCTATTAAAAATACAAAAACATAAAGTAGGTGGCTTTTAATCACTAGAAATAATGTTGATAATAGCTGGTAAAATTCTTGCTGGTTTCAATATAGCTCTTTAGAGGCCAGTTGGTAAAGGATTGGGAACTGGCATGCCCAGCACTGAAGTGTCCCATAAAATCCAGCCCACTGTGGGGACTCAGCTAATTTCTAATTACATTAAGTAGCACTAAGTGCCTGCAAATGAGGCTGAGGTTGGCCACGAGCTGACTATGGGGAGGAAGCTGTGTTTCAGAGGAAAGCAAAGGGGCTGGCACCTTCTTATCTGGCTCTCTTTTGATCATAGACAAGGAGACTGGGAAAGCCCCATCTCTCCAGGACTTGCCAGAGGTTCTGCAGCCTGCCCTGGAGGCTGCTCTTTGTGACAAAAGTGCCAGGGTGCGGATGGCAGCAGCGGTATGTCAGTATGCCATACGGTCACATAATCCCCTTGCCCGGGACATCATGCAGACTGCCCTTTTGAAGGGTGAGTAACTCCGTTATTTCTCACCTGGAAATACAGAGTAAAGAAAGGACATCTCGCAATCAGCTTTTCCTAATGCTTTTCCCTCCACCATCATGTCTGTGATGTCTTCTGTATTGGGTTTGGGTTATGCTAGAATATTCAGACTGGTTTTTCCTAGGTACTTTTACAAAATAGGTACACTGCCACCTAGTGGTACCTGGGCTAGTGTTTCATAGATGCTTCTGACTAGAAACCATGCCCCTTTCACACAAAGGGATTCTCTTTTAACTGAAAAGATGATGTAGCAATAGTAAAGAATACTTTCTGAAACTTAAAAAAATCACCGCTTGAAGACATCATGCTCCCATTTTGCATATATACTTACAGGCATTGTCCACATGCATTTTTGGAGAAATATATACTACAAGTTCAGATGAAGGACCCAGGGTGCCTAACTGCTCTCTCTGAAAGATGTGCCTGTTTCTTGCCTGAGGGTGGGGGAGGGGGGCCAACAAGGACAACTGACTGCCAATTTGGCTTTCTGCATAGACATTCAACAACTTAATTCATCTGTCTTAAGAAAGCCTCCATGCCAGCCTTCCCAATCTCTAGGAGGAAAAGCAACTGTATCTAACCCAGGCCACAAGTGCCTTATGGCTGTTACCTAACAAGAGCCTGTTAAGATTGAACTTTTCAGGTTAAGATTTTAATCTATATTTAAAACCTTGATATGATCCATCTAAATATGGTTTAAAAATGGGCCTGGATTTCCAGACTGAGGGTGCACTGGAAATGAGCTGTCAGGCAGGTGGCAGCCTTGGGTATCAACCCAAAGGCTGTTCTGGGAGAACAGATCACCATTCTAGGCTCCTTTTTTTCCACCCTACTGTGACAGGTAATAGTGTGGACAGCTGGGCTGCAGCTCAGTGCTTGGCTCTGGAAGGTGCTGCCACTTACCCCGTGATTAAGAGGATCCTCCATCAGCTATTTAACAAGAAGAATGAGGACACTGAGCAGCAGTCTTGTACACTCCTGAGCCATCTCAGTGGGAAGACAGTATGTGTCCATTACAGGGTCAGAGAAAGAAACAAAGTTGTGGGGAACAAGTGAGGTCAGTGCAGGGGAGGAATCCAAAATGCAGGTGGTTGGGTAGATGACCTCAAGCAGTGGTAAAACTGGACTCAGTGCAGGTGAACTGGGGTGTTCAGGTGTACACAGGGAGAAGCAACAACAGCTAGTTGAAAGAAAGGTGAGAAAAGTAAGTTACAGATGGTTTCTGTGTATGCAAGAAGAGTTGGTATATGTAGAATCTGCTTCTACTAGAAATATACCATGGAAAACCACAAAGACCTACAGTCTTGTTTACTTTCAGTAGATGTGTGGAACTCACAAAGATGGAGGCATATTCAAATCATTTTAGAGGTAAAGATAAAGTCAAGAAGAGAAGGCCCCAGGGGTTTTCTGTTCAGATTACTAAATCCCTTGTTTTGTTCCCTGATTTTAGATCCCTGAAGTCAGTTGGCTCAGATATAGGAGTGCCCTGTATCTTGTAAATCCACTCTTTCCTTTGCTAGGGATGGGCACCTCATGTACTTGTCACATTAATTATGCTGGATGCCATAGGCCACAACTTGTTTAAGGTTCTAGCATCTCTAGAAGTGATCCATACAAGTCTTCTATTTCCTCAGACCCTGATACACACCATGCTTGCTGTGGAGCTGAATAGTTATCAATGGAAGGACCGGATTGTGGCCTGCCGTACTCTCTCCCAGATCAGTGGAAACATCAGTTTGGTAAGCCTTCTTTGCATTTATAGCACAGAAAGTCTAAATAACACTGGGCTAGAGAGCCCTTGCACTTTTTGCTACTATCTAGTATCCCATTCTTACCAAGACCTCTATCTCCACATTGCTACCTCTCACTCCTAATCCAGAAGTAGCTTTATATGCCAACATGTCTTTCTGTGACGTAAGCCACTGCTTCTCAGCATGGTGGCAGTCCACCATACTATAACCTACCCACAATGAAATAAACAAAAAGAAAAGTACCCAAGAGAAAAAGTTTAGAAACTTTTATAGTAATATGACATTGCCTCAACACCACTGTATTTTACAAGTATCAGCCAATGACATTCTCCCTTCTGGAAAATTGGTCCATCATAGATAGTTTGAGAAGCACTGCCTTAGTTACATGACAACCCAACTATACTAGTATGTATGCTGACTCTCCCTGAGTATTTAGCACATACCTAAGGGAGGTATAAAACACAGTCCCTACTTCCAAAAAACTGACATTATAGTTTGAGTAACAAGACTAACATACACAAACAATTCAAGAACAAATGACAAACGTAAGGTACTATCTTAAAACTTATCAGAGAGAGATTAGTGTGGGCTGAATGTCTCAGTTAAAGTTCTGTAAAGGAGTGTGGGACAGCTGAGCAAGACCTGTCAGAAGCGAAGAAGGACTTCCACACAAGGGAAAACCTGACCATCATTTAACCTTTCACCTGATCATCTTTTTGCCTTTATTTTTAAATCATGTTCAGCTGCCCAAATAGAATTTTTCCCTTCTTCCTTTGGACAGTACATGCTTTTCCTTATAACATCGAGTACCTCCCCAAATGGCCCAGAACACTGCCATTCCCACAAGTGAACACCCTCCACTCTCTGACCCTCAAATTTTGATATGGAGTGCAAAAAATTCAAACACTCAGTACAATCACCTGAAAACATCTTAGTCTGGGGTAATTTTGCTCTAATGCCCTGCTAAAGTCCTGGATCAGCAGCACCTTGGAGTTTGTGAGAAGTACAAAATCTCAGCTCAGGTCAATCAGAATCTGCATTCCAACAGTATTATTTCAGCAACATCTGATTCATTTGCACATTCACCTCCTTAGCACTTACCACTCAGGACTACCAATTAGAAGTAGAAAGACATACAGAGCAAGCAGGGGGCAGGGTAAAGATGAGATCATGTCAGACAGCTGGAATTAAGAAAGGCAGTATGTCCACAAGTTCTTCTACTCATTCAGTAAGCTAGCTGTTTCTGACCCCATCCGACATGCTAGATACTATGCTAGCATTGGGGTTGCAAAGATAGTATGTCTTCTCTTGGTAAATGTTACAGCTTCAACAGAACCAGCTATAAGGTATTATGGGATTTCCTATGCTTACAGAGGCCAGAGAAGTTCACTGAGGAGGTGCTTTTTAAGCTAAACCCTAAGAAGTGTAGGAAAACCTCACATACCAGGTAGGAGTGGAAAAGAGAGAACTTCCACGCAGGGAGAACAGCTTGGACACTTCTTCACCACCACTATAATAATCTTTGTCCCTTCCCCTCTGACAGAAGTTGGTGGCCAACTGGTCTGGTTTGTCCAGGACATAGAACTTTTAGTACTAAACACATGAAAGTCCCAGGCAAACTGGGATGAGTTGGTCACCCTACTAATGTTTCAGCTTCAAATTTTAAGTGTCCCAAGTACAGATTACACTGGCCCCAACATTGTATAGCAGTTTAAAGCATGAGCTTAGAAAACAGACCTGGGTCTTAGTCCTGGCTCCCGCACTCCAAAGGTTAACCCTGGACAAGTAAACCTAAACCTCCATTTTGTCATCTGTAAATATAATAATATCCGCCTCATTGTTTGGGAGGATTAAGTGATGGGTAAAAACAGTGTCAAGTATAAAACTGACAGTCAGTAAATAGTAGCTAATTATTATACCTAATATAGGATATGAAAGGTAAGCTGATCCAGCTGATGTTGAGTGACTGGAGTAAGGAAGTGAGGACAGCAGCCGCCCAAGCTCTGGGGCAAATGAGCCTCGGGAAAGAGGTGCATGACACAATCAGGTGAGATCCAGTCAGCACGAAGAGAAACTTTTCTATTTTTAAACATGTTGGGGGGCCTGGGATCCAGCCAACCAGCGTTTGTATGCTCAGCATTGTATTAGTCCTATTACAAGATTATTTTCAAGTGCCTAGCATATGCTAGGTAACAGCGACTCAAGTAAGACAGTTGAGGTGTCTATCCAGTGAAACTCTGCTTCACTTAACACTACCTAATGGCATAAGGCTGACTGGGAAAGGGTGGGAATGGATAATGTTAGAGCCTATAGAGGTTAGGTTTTATCCTATGGGCATTTTGATGGGGAGAGGGGCACCAAAGTTTAAGGAGGATAAATAAAAGCACCTGTGCCTTACAGAGTCAGGTTGGGTCATGGAAATTGCCAGGAGCGTGTGGAAGCCCTCTCCCTGATTGGTGGGCTCAAGCTCATGACCGCCAAGCTTCTCCCAAGCTTCCTGAACTGCTTCTCTGATGACTTCATGGCAGTTCGGCAGGCAGCCTGTTTGGCAGCAGGTGCCCTGCAAATCCGTAATAAGATGGTGAGTCGAGGAAACAGGTACCCATCTTACCCAATTAATCCAAAGAGGGGATTCCCCTGAGCTTCCGTTGTACACAGCACTCTCACCATTCTGTGGGTACACAGACTGAGAGATAAGAACAAGGAAGGTGAGGGGTTATAAAAGCCATAGCAATCACTCAGGACCACATTCAGCTCCCAGCCAGCCCAGACTTCACTCTAGAGCACATCCCTGAATCCTGCTCTCACCTCAGTTATGGGCTTTAGGATCAATTCCAGTGAATGACTTATAAACCCGTTATTAGGGGAAACCTTATGGAGGTGTTCAAAAGAATCCTGTATAGCCATAGATCTCTGAGCTAAGAAAACGAATCTACAGATATAATTCAGCTAACAGGCTAGTATTTCAGGCCCCAGTTCACTTGCAATACAATTGATAGGGTCATTTTTCAGTGACAGCACATTTTAGAGATACAAGGGGTCCCTGTCTAGTTCATTCTTGCTCTGGTCCTCTCCATTCAATACTACCTTTTATCCATCCCAGGTCCTTGAATGCCTTCTGAATCTGATACAAAGAGAGCCATACTGGAAAATCAAGGCTTGTGCCATTCAAGGTATTACAGGAGTGGCCCCAGCTCCTCAACCTCAAACACCTTCCTACAAGCTAGTAGAGATGAGCTCCAGAATCTCTAGGAAAGGGGTGGAGAATAGGGGAGGGGGTGATCACCCCTTCTCAGGAAGTTCCTTGCCTGGGAAATTGAAAATTATTTCCTTCTTTTTAATTTTTAGTTAAGGATCTCAAGTCTAGATAGATACCAAACTTTTTAAGACCAAGGAATGACAAGACAGTCTCTGCCAACAGAACTAGGGATATATTCCACGTGGGTATCCACTGTCAAATATACTTGCTTTCTCTGGAGGTTTCAACTAGAGGACTCCATAAAAGGCCAGATTCAAGACTGTTACAGACCAAAAACCCTAGGTTTAGGGTCAATTTTTCCTTTGAAGGATCGTTAGCATTGCTTCTCTCTTTGACAGTCTTTGGCAGGTACCTAGCAGAATCAGCCCTAGGTAAACCTCTGAAGTCATTGTGCCTCCCTTCCCCATCACTCTGCCTGGATGAGGCTGGTCTTCTAGGGTATCAGTCCCATATCTCACCCCTAGATAAATAAATTTGTGAAATTCTCACATCCTAATGGGCAAGGATGGAATGGAACACTGCCTCCTAGGAATCCTTTGGAGGTAATGACCTACTCTGACCCATTCCTAAAATTCTAATGGTGATGTCATCCAAAAGGGAAGACACAGGCAAAATACTTAAGTTTAACATTTGCAATGCTTTATTTATTTAGCAAGGGGTTGCCTACACCTTATTAATTAGTAAGGCCATTTCTGGATGCTAGGATATAGTCAACTGTCTTAAGTGATGGTGGAACATGACGCCTTCTCATCTCTGCAGCTTTGGGACAGATTGGCCTAGTGAGTCCCCAGCTGACAGACCACCTGCTCTGGGCTATCCACTTTGAAAAGTCACCAGGGGTACGAATGGAAGCTTGCCGTAGCATCCTTGCCCTCAAACTTCAAGGGGACCGAGTCAGGGACACCTTTCTAGACGTGCTGCTCCTAGAGAACCATGATGCTGTTCTAGAGTGAGTGCCAAACCTCTGGCTCCTGCCATGACTTCTCATACTGCCAACTCTCCCATCTTGGTAACAGAATATATCCCTGTCTTTCTTGGCTGCCTTATGATTGTAAAAACACAGGCTCACCTGTGCCATTCACCTACTTTAACCCAAGTGGGTAATAGAAAAACTGGCCAAAGTAGATAAGTCAAGCTCATGTAGTTCACATACCTGTTCTCCAAACCAGGTGGTTTTACACTATTCATTTATTCAACTAACATTTATTAAGTACCTACTCTGACAAGGCTTTAGAGTAAAAAAGACTAGGGTTCAAATCCCAGCTCAGGTATGCACTATGTAAGCTTGGGCAAGTTACTTAAACTCTCTGAGCCCATTTTTTTGTGTACCAAATGCATGTGACAGTCTACCGTATGGGTTTGTTGGTGATTAATGAAATGACATTTTCATCACCTGTCATAAAAGTGGTCAATAATGGCACCTTCGAATATATCATCTCACAAACTGCACAACATCCTAATAAACTAAGCATCAAACCATTTTGCAGACAAGACTCAGCGAAACTGCAGTTAGGACTGGAATTCAGGATTCTCATCTGATCCTGAGTACCTGTATTTTCCACCCCCATGCTTTTTTTAAGGACAGGAAGATACAATCTAAGAAGTCCTTTTTATCTTTCAGGGAAATTCACCAGGCAATGAAGATACTCCACCTAGAATATGAAGGAAACCAAGAAATGCTTCAGAAGATCAAGAACAGGGTATGTAAGTGCAAGCTGTGTTTTCAAGAGAAAATTCAGGGCTCTCGAGTTCCTTAGACCCTTTTTTTTCCCCCCATGACAGAAATACTTTTTACAACCCCAGTCACAGATACCATATCACTTGAAGATACAAAACATCTGTGCAAGATAGGATTCTAAAATCCCACCAGTAAAAAGATAAAACAAAAATCCTGTGGTCCTATCATGTAGCCCTTAAAAATCAGAGTTTGTTATTTTTGTTGTTTCTGAAATACTGCTTCTTTTTCTTCTCATTTTCTCCCACCTTCCCATAAGCCCATGTTCTTCTATTTTGCAGGTAGGCACAGAGAAGGAATGAGGATCTGGAAGTGGCCCCCTAGATTTTCTTTATCTTTCCTAACATTCCTTAATGCCTAATGTGGGCACTTTCATCAAATGAACACTCTAGCTGAACAGGTTCTGATTTTTCAAAACTGTTAGATGAGATGAAGGAATAGAAAGAAAAGTAAAAAATTCTTTCTTCATATAATTTACAAAATCAACTTCATATCAAGCATTTCTTAGCAGGTTCCCTTCATCATGACCAAAAGCTAAAATACATTAACAGGTGTAAAATATGTCCAACATCACAAGAGAACAATGCTCTCAGGCAGTTCTGTACCATCTAACTCCAATAAGCATGATGCAATAGGTTACTTTATTAATGCTTTTTGATGATTTGCAGCCTAGTACTGTTGTTTTTTTCAACATTTTTGCTCTGATCTAGATTCAAACACTAAGCCAAAAGGACTTGATGACACAGAAAATATTCAAGATTGAGAAGGGCATAAGAAAAGTGAAGGAGGAAGCAAAACGTGTTTACCTGCAACCCAAAGAGGGGCAAAAACCATTGAAACTCCATACTTTTCTCCAAGAAACTTTTCAGGGTAGGTTTCCTATGCCTTGACTCCTTTAACAAGCCTCTTCCGGGATCTGGAGGTTTTGGGAGTTAGTTACAAAGCCCTGTAGGATGAGAGTTAGGAAAGTCTACTTCCCTTCCTTATGGCTACCATCCTCTCGGTCCTGTTATTTTTTTCCCCTGACTCCCAGGCTTTCATTTATTTACTATTTTGTCCCTTTAAGAAAAAAAAGAGTGAGGTAGCTCTGTTTGAACTGATTTCAAAGTTAGGTCAAAAAAGGACACATTAGAAAAATGTGAGTATAAAACAAAACAAAATACTGTGGTTAAGCACCCCCAAAAAAGCCTGGAAAGTGATGTTGGAGAAAGAGCTATTACTTTTACTTTATGTACATCTATGCTTTTGCAACTTAAAAAAAGGTTTTATAAAGCTCCAAACTTTATATAACTGAATCTATCACTTATGGTGATAGGAACTTAACGTTCCAGATAAGCCTAAATGATGAGGTGCAGACATTAAGCTGTACCAAAACATACTTACAAAATCTGTGTGCCCAGGTGTAGCAGCAGCCTCAGGTCATTCAGCCAGCTACCTACCAGCCACCACCCCAAACCCAGGTCTTCTGGTTCCAAGTCCAGTACTCTCTCTGGTACACCAGGCTCTTTTCCACCAACCATGGGAACATTCACTTGCCACATTTGGGGAAGATTCTTCCAACTGCCAGAAAAAAATGAGAGTGGAGAGTAACTTGAACAGCAGCCTTCCCTCATGGCCGTCTTGCTACAAGTTGGTTGACTGAGGCCTATGATAGCACAACTAGGTGACATGCTGTCCCTCTGAGAGCTGTGGCAGCCACTGATGCAAGCAAAAGCATTGAGCAAAAAAAATAACATACTTTTTAAGACATAATATACTCATAATTTTTCTAATAGGATTGTGCTATTTGGGGTTCAAGAAGCATAACTAAAATGAATTACCCCGAGAGATACAGACTGCCTCAAGCCTACAACCACCCCAAATTACCTTTCACCGCTATTATAGATTTTCCCTATCTTCCTCCCCCCTCCCACATTCCTTCAAACCATTTCACATAATAATCTAGCCTGAGAAAATGGAAACATTCCTTGGCACTTTAATAACTTTCCTAACATTCACACAGTAGCAAACAGAATACTGACCCCAGCACTCCCCAACCCCCAAATTGATAAAAAAGAACTCCAATGAAGAATGTAAATTCCAAATAAAAACTCTAATGTCTCAAGCAGAATGATACAGCAAGTGCTACATGGTACACTAAAGCCTAAGGATGATGAAGCAGCTGGTGCTCTGTAATGATCAGGGATCAAAGTTACTTCTGCAGAAATAGCTTTTTCCACCTTCAGCTTCTGCTTGTACTTTGTGCCTAGATGAAGTGGTGCTTCCTAGAAGATCATCTGAGATTTGTGACACTGAAGCAGTCATAAAGGTAAATGTGAGCACACTGATGGTTATCAAGGTAAGAACACCCAAAAAAGGTGGTGGTAAGAAAGAATCACTACTGTCCCATTTCCAGCAATCATAAGAAACCAGAGCTCAGGTGAGAGGCATCTTAGTAAGCAACAGCCCTTTATCATATAACATGGTCACCAAGGAAAGCTGGTCCTCTACACTGTCACAGGGCAAGTCCCCTACTCTTACAAACTCTGGGTAGGAGCGGAGCAAGAGTTCCATGGCATCAGCTTGCTGAGGGTATATCTCCAAACACTTGGGCTCTTCTAGATGATAAACACGGGAATTTTCCACTGTATAGTAGAGAAGCAAATGGTCTCCCTCACCCACCAGTCGAGCTATACCATCCTGAAGCATGTGCACTTCTGTTTCTGTTGTCAGCTGGGCCCCCACATTTACAGGTTCTCCAGCCTCCCAGCGAATTGGGAGTCCATAAACACTCAGTGCCCTTTCCCTATCAGTCAACACAGGGGGCAGAGAATCGTGGATGAAGTCTTTGGCTCGCTGGTCAGCCACAGCATCGACAGGGGCAAAGTGTCCCAAGCGGGCAACCAAAACCCGCACCTTCTCCATGAAAGCAGTTCTTCGCGGATCCTTAGAATCCGAATGCTGGGCCCCCATGTAATCCATGAAGTCTCGGGGCAGACCCCTTCGAAACTCCACATTTTCTTCCATTGCAGCCTGTACTGCCAGGGGCAGTACGGCTTCCAGGAAGTCGCCCCAGGTATTGCGCTGGTACGTGGACAAGGTGAGGTGCAGGGAGTGCACTCCATCCTGGCATTCGGCTTGGTGAACGAAGCCCCGAGGAAAATAGAGCAAATCTCCAGGTTCCAGAACGGTCTGCAGCACCGGCTCACCAAGGTCATCCTGGCTGAAGTTGGGGCTGGACGTAAGGGCCAGTTCCTCAGTCGGGACCCGGGGTCGGTAGACACGCCAGAGTTTCCTACCTTCCAGCTGTAGCACAAAAGCCTCGATGTCGTCGTAGTGGGGGGCAAAGCCCTGCGAGTTGGGGGGCGTGAGATAAACGTTGGAGCCTGCCATGCTTCCAAACTGCTCCTGGAGCACAGCCAAAAACTGCCACACGGTGGTTGAGAAAGCCTGCGGACAGAGGAGGCGCAGGGAGCAGCCAGCCTGGTACAGGGACCACGCGGCGGCAGGCAGGGCGCGGCCCGGAGGATTCAGGGTCTCGCGCCGTCCGTTGATGTAGCGAGCTGCGTCCAAGTGCTGCCCAAATTGCACCTCCTCGTTTCGAAGCACGGAGTCCAGATCTGCAGTTGAGAAAAGACCCAGGTAGTAGGTGTGGTCCTGCCGCCGCACGAGCACCGCCTCCCGCTCCCACAGGCGGCGGTAGAAGTGGTCTGGAGGCATGGGTGCGATGAGCCACTCAAACAGGCGCGCCGCCCGCCGCCGGCTGCTGGGGATGCGGTTCAGCTCTGCCAAAACGCGCTGCAGCGGGGAGTCCCATGGCACCTCCCCTCCCGTGCTATCCCCTTGAGGCCCCGACAGCGTCGCAGGGGCCACAGACGGTGGGGCAGCCGCCAAATGTTGGGCAGAGCACAGCAGGGCCGAGGTCTCCACCACGCGGGCCGGCACCGCGGACACCTCCACCAGGCGCGCCGGCGGGGTCTGTGCCTCCACCAGGCGCGCTGGCGGGGTCTGCGCTTCCACCAGGGCGCGGGGGGTCTGCAGGGAGCGGGCCGCGGGTGAGGCCTCCAGCAGCTCTGCAGGCCCCAGATGGCCGTACGGCTCTCGCCGGGACGCATCCAGGATGGCCGCCGTCCCACCGGGCAGCGGGTCCCCGGGATCGTCGATGGTCGACTCCAACCTCGAGTCCTCCGAGTCCTCACTCGGCAGCTTCTGGGCCCTCAGCGCGGCCATGCGGGACGCAACACTTCTCCTCAGCTGCCTTCGGATCTTCCTGGGCCTCAAGGGCAGGGCCAGGACCGACCCACTGTGCGGCTGCGGCTGCCGCCGGCGCCTTAACCGCCCGCGCCTCAGCCCTGCGCTAACCCGGAGACCGTCCATGGTCGGGCTCTCTTGCGAGCACAGCCGCAGCTGGCTGGAAAAAGGTTCACAGCGCCTGCGGCTGCGGTGTATTCTGGGAAGGGAGCGCGTCCTCCCGCTGCCTCCGGGCTGGCCACGCCCACCATCTTCCGGCCGGTGCTGGCAGCTTACTCATTAACAAACGTTACCTTACTTTAAATGCATGGCTTCACACTAAGGTCGCGGAATCCCTGGCGCTTTAAAAGGGATTCCATATTTAGAGGGCAATTTAAGAATCAAGTTGCTAGGAATCTATTTAACTATTTCCTTCTAGTCTCTGCATATTGCTGTTACCCAGCACATCCTCTTTTCTGTAGGGCACGTTCCCCAGTAGCTTTGCACGGGAAAGGGCATAATTCTTTTCTACAAATGCCCTAAGGAAGTGTTCACGATGCCGGACAAACCTCGTGTCCATCCGGTTCTCTTTCATTGCAGGTGATGTCACAGATTGATGCCCTATCAGAATTCTTCCGCCTACCTTCCCTAGATCCTTTCTCCATTACAAATTCTCAGTCGGCCTTCTGAAGAAGTTAAGAACACTTCTGCTGCGTTCTTGATAGCTTCCCTTTCCACCCTCTCTGGGATTTTGTTTCATTAGCTACAACTTCTC